GGAAGTTATTTGATGAATTTGAGAAAGGATCGGTTCCTAGTGAGTTGACATATAACACGCTTATTGCAGGAATGTGTGAGAGCGGGGAATTGTCTGAAGCTGCGAGGTTATGGGATGACATGGTGGAGAAGAGATTGAGTCCCAATGCTTTTACTTATAACATGTTAATTAAGGGATTTTGCAATGTTGGTAATGCAAGCGAAGGAATAAGAGTTCTGGAAGAGATGTTGGAAAGAGGATGTTCTCCTAATGAATCTACTTACTCTATCTTAGTCAAAGGTCTGCACAGTTCAGGATGTGTATCAGAAATTCCAAGAGTACTTTCCATGGCAGCTTGCAATGGAAAAGAAATTGAAATTGTTACTTGAGTGTATTTTACTCTGAAACCAGTTAGAATCTCGGTGGAGCTTGCCATTGCAGATCAAATAGTCTTGGAAAAGTTTTCACTTAAGTTTCATTCTTGCAAGGTTTTCTGCAGCTGTTTCTTGTATGACTATAGATCAGTTGCATGCTGCAAGCTAGTGTTTCCTATAGTCGCTGATGTAACAGAATTGGATGTTGCTTCTGATTGAACCTTGGGGCTTAGCGTCCTTTGAGGATTTTGTTCTCATTTAGCCAGTGATTAAGAAATTTTCACCTCTTCCATTTCCTGGGTAACTTGAAAGAAGGAGTAATGCAAGTTGTACTAGACAGGCCACTGCCCTTGAGAGATCCAATCTTTTGCTCACAGCAATAAGGAACTCCATTCATGCTTCAATGGTATACCCTGATCTTTCATTGCTTTCATATTTATATTATAGATATCTGATGTAATTTGTAAGGTATATCATTCTAGCCTTTTGGCATTGACTCTAATTTGATTAAGTGCTCTTAATGTGAACGATAAATAATTAATAGGAGGGAAGCTAGCATAAATAAAGGTTTGATGTGTTATTTAGAGTATCATGATAGCCATTTGTGAATATACTCAGTTTAAATATACAACTATGCCATACAACACTAGAAGTTAAGCAAACATATTTAACCATATGATTAAGCATTTAAATCCTTTTTCAAAATTTTTACTACTTTCTTTCTCGTCCAATTATCATCCAAATCCAATGGTTAAATATAATGGGGTTGAATTTGCCATATTAATTATTTGGTCATCAAGATAAAACTAACAGTGGTCAGCATTGTGGTAGCTTTTTATAATTTGGATACGAGTAAAGGAACAGTGGAGATTTTCCAGATCCATTCACTTGAACAAACATGTGATACTGAGAAATCTTTTTAAGTGTTGCTCCAAAACTTGAAGAAACGTGTTTTGAAGTTTGACGGCAAATCATAATTGGACAGTTGAACAATATCCTGTTTGTATCCTGTTTTACAGACGAAAGGCAATAAGGAAGGGGAATCAAGTTGAGGTCATGTTTTTGCCTGACTTCCAAGCCAATGATCTGAGTCATGCTTAGTTCTTGTCTCGATTGACCAGGGAGTTTCCAGTTAAAGTGGTACAACAATTGTGCAAGTGGCAGCTCCATTAGGTACAACAATTGATGTTCCAGGACATACCCTTGTTCTGGCACCAAATGGATGAAGTTAAAAGTTGTACCCCTTGAAATTGATTTTAGAATCAAGAAATTAATCTGGATTAAATTTCTCAGGTTCTTTCATTGTTTAGGATCTCTTCAATTATCCAGGCATTGACAAGGACTATGGTCTTTGGTATTGCATATCAATTGATTTCAAAATTTTCACTGCATAACAGTGGAACCGCAGGGTCCAATCTCAGTGTTCCTTTGATGACTACTTGCAGGTTATTTAATTTATGAAGTCGCAATCCATCAATATTTTCGTTTCGCGAAGAGATTTGCTTTACCTCCTCTTGGGCTTTCTTCATTACTCTTGGATTTCTAGTCATTTCAGACATTGTCTATGTGAGAGTTGTTGACAATGTCTTGCCTCCAGCACTGCAATTTCATCAAGCTGCAGATGCGTCAGAGGTCCATAGTTCTTAGCCAAGTCTGTTAGGATTCTATGAGGGTAGGAAACCATTAAGCCGATGCACATTTCTGTTCGAGTAAATTAAGACTAAAGTGAAAATAGTTTGCAGAATATTTGGCATTGTTGAGTAGTGAAGATGACAAAATTTTCTTTGCTTCGCTTCACAGACATTTTATGAAGCACTGATAACCTCAAATTGGCCTTTGTTAAGCAGTGATAGGAATTATACAGAGGTTCCTGGTCCTTTGTAGTAATTGATATCTATAGATCAGCATACCTGGTTAGCCGCTGTTTGGTGAATGTAGTCAAGTGAAGAAGTGGTGGTTGCTTTTCTTGAGTGTGAGAGTAAATTAAGACTAAACTGAAAAAAGTATTGTTGACCAGTGAAGATGACAAAATTTTCTTTGCTTGACTTGATAGACATGATAACCTCAAATTGGCCTTTGTTAAGGACTGATAGGGATTATACAGGGGTTTCTTGTTGTATGTAATTAGCCACCATTTGGTGCATGTAGTCAATTGAATAAGTATACGGAAGTGCTATTTTGAAAAGTTGTGGTTGCTTTTCTTGACTATTTTGTAAATTAAGACTATAAGTGAGAATAGTTTGATGGATTAATCTTTCCTACACTACATTGTCAGCATCGAATGAATGACAATTATGCAAAATTTGAATTTGAACTCCAACTTTTGCATACGTGTCATGGATCCAATGGTGATATACACTGTCAGTGGATATAAAATTTACTCATATTTGACTTGTGAAGATGACAAAATTTTCTTTGCTTCACTTGATAGACATGCTATGAGGCATTGATCACCTCAAATTGGCTTTTGTTAAGCACTGATATTAATCTTGTCTATGGATTGATTATCTAGATTCGCTGACATGATTGCGAATGCAGCTTTAATGAATATCATTCTCAACTCTTCTCTCAAATACATTTCGTTTGTATTGTTTGAACAAGTCTTGTTAGTAGGGCTACATGAATCAACTGTACAAGGTTAAACCTCATTGATAGAAGCTAGGATTGAGTCATTGAGGCTTTGTCGGTGCTACAAATTATCAATTTCATGGATGAGATGTCTGATTTTGAGTGATGCAGCATGAAAACTTGGTAGGCACACCAGCTTTGTAGAAAAGTTTAGATATTGAACGTCACCCGAACTTATAATAGCAACTTGGAATAGGATGGGAGAACATGCTTAAGAAGGTGAAAACTGATTGGTAATCCTAGGAATCACTCCTGGGAATCTTTAGGCCTCACACCTAAAGTTGGGATGTATCACACAGTCCTAAGGAAGATGTTAAGTCTGCAGGAAAATTTTATTAATGACCAAAAACTGACTTCTCTTTGTGGAGAAGTGGTTATTTATAGACCTTAGAACAAAGCTCATTCCAATCCTAATTAGGACTCCTAACTAGAATAGAATTCTAGTGGAAAGCTAGAAAGCTAAGCTTTCTTATTCCCTATAACAACTAAAATACTAATTACCAAAAATAACTACTAAACAGAAAATTACCATAAACATAAAATTCCTGCAGCTAATTCAAATTACTAAAATACCCCTGCCGGCGAAAATCAGAAAATAAACTCCATAGAATTCAAACCAACTCCCAAGTTGGTTCCTTGTCATCAAAAGCATGCCAAATCAATGCTTGGGCATTCGACACATCCTTCCCATGTCTCCTATAAACCTTAGTGGATTTTTGCCACCTAGCTCTATCATTAAGCTTTTCTTTTATTCAGTCTACAGGAAGAGCTACATGCTCCTAATTACACAGAACAAAACGAGGGATGGTTGCCCTGATAACATCCTCCCCGATTAGCTGCCTGATGGCTTCAGGTGGTTCTTTTAAAATCCTCAATCCCAGATCTGCATCAATGCTGTGTTTGGCTAGGAAGTCTGCCCATTGTTTCCCTCTCCCCAAATGTGTTCTAGCTGGCAGATCCAACCTTTCCTGCAACATTCTTGAATCTGCATAACCAGATTGTAATGAGGAGACTCCTGAGCAGCTTCTTGTATTAAGTTCAAGCCCACATTAGAGTCAGTTTCTAGCTTTGACTTTTTAGAACTCTGAATTCCAAGCAAACTATAGTCCACATAAGATGGCTTCCACAGATCGGCTCCATTATTTGATGCCCTGCCCTAACTAAGCTTTTCCTTTCACTTTTTCAAAATCAAATAGCAGTACACATACTAGTACAAGTAACTATGATAGTTGATATGTATACTTCCATCTTTTTTCCTTGCTTCTAATTTGTAATTGAACGATCTGAAGAACTATACAATCTAATATAACCCGAGAAATACCTCTGATCAAGTTTTACATGAAAACCGGATATTATGCAGAACCATGGCATCAATGGTTACATGAATTAGACTTGTTTAATCACTGATAAGCAAGAATTCATTTGCCTTGTAAGGCAATTTCACCAGCAGTAGCGTATACTGCATATAAACGTACATATAGTCATTAGTCATGAATCACCAAGTCGTAATTATGTCTTTATCTACTACAGTGGATGTCTGCGGCTCAGTTCTTAGGTTCTGTTGGAAAAGTAAGATGTATGATTAAATCAACTTTGGACTTGGTTCTGTGTTTATGTAATCTCATCATCCATACATGACCAACATAGCTGCTGAAGCATAGAAGCAAAGAAGACTGAATTTTGTATTAGAATATACTGATACCTGTAAAAGATCATTTCACCTCTAAGCCAAGAACATTCCAGCATCATTTTATTGATTAGCATGGAGCTTTTAGTTTTCATTTCTGTTTTCATCTTATTCTGTTTGACGATAGTTAAAATTGCAAGGAAATCTAGGCCTGTGAAGCTGCCACCGGGGCCAAGACAACTACCGATAATTGGCAACATGCATCAGCTTATTGGCTCCCTTCCTCACAGGATCCTTTCAGACTTGGCCAAGAAATATGGACATTTGATGCACCTGCAGCTTGGTGAAATGTCAACTGTAGTTGTCTTTTCTGCAGAGGCTGCGCAGAAATAATGAATGACAACGACCTTATATTTGCATATAGTCCTAATCTTGTTTCAGCAAATGTATTGTTTTATAATTCTACAGATATTGCCTTTTCCCCATATGGAGATTATTGGAGACAACTGCGAAAGATTTGTACATTGGAGCTTCTAAGTTCAAGGCAGATCCAAACGTTCCGATCAATTAGGGAAGAGGAGGCCTCAAATATGATTAGATCAATCTCTTCACAAGAGGGTTTGGCTGTCAATCTCAGCACCATGATCTCATCGCTAGCATTTAGCATCGTTGCTCAGGCTGCTTATGGTAAAAGAAGCAAATATCACAATGAGTTCATGTCAGCAATAAAGGATGTGACAAAGCTTATGGGAGGTTTCAGCATAGTAGACGTGTATCCCTCTATCAAAATACTTGAAAAGATCACTGGAATGAGGCATAAGCTACAGAGGACTCACAAGATAGCTGATAAAGCACTTGAAAACATTCTCAATGAGCACAGAGTCAAGAGAGCGGAATCAAAACCCGGTAATGGAGAAGCAAAGGAGGATCTGGTTGATGTTCTTCTAAGGATTCAACAATCTGGGGAATTTAGTGCTCCACTTACTGATAATAACATCAAAGCAGTCATCTTTGTAAGTAAATTGTATTTCATCAATGTTTGTTCTACACAATTCCATCTAGATCCCAACATGGCAAAAAACTAGTCCAAAGGGAAAACAAGACCTTGTATAGATCATTTAGAATTTTGAATTACATACAAATCCTATGCCGAAAATTTAGATCTCCTGTCAGAATAATTTACATCTATTTCTGTGTACTCTAATCCTCTCTTACTGTGGTCTAAGCTTGAGGTTTCTGATAATTCTGCTCAGGACGTGTTCAGTGGAGGGAGCGAGTCATCAGCAACAACTTTGATGTGGTCAGTTGCTGAAATGATTAACAATCCAGAAGTACTTAAAAGAGTGCAAGATGAGGTTCGAGAAATCTATGCAGACAGAGGAAACGTTGATGAATCTCGAATTCATAAATTGAAATACTTGCAAGCAGTCATCAAAGAAGTTTTTCAATTGCACCCTGCAGCTCCACTATTAGTTCCAAGGGAATGTAGCGAAAAATGTGAAATATATGGATATGAAATACCTGTGAAAACAAGAGTCATTATTAATGCCTGGGCAATTATGCGAGATCCCAAGCGCTGGATTGAACCTGAGAAATTCTACCCAGAGCGATTTCTTGACTCTGAAATTGATTTCAGGGGACAGAATTTTAGTTACATCCCATTGGTGCAGGAAGAAGGATCTGTCCTGGCATCTCATTTGCTCTGACCAGCATCCAGGTACCTCTTGCACAACTGTTGTACCACTTTGATTGGAAGCTTCCTGCAGAATTTGAGCAAGAACAACTAGACATGACTGAGACCTTTGGCTTGGCAGTCCGCCCAAAACAGGATCTGGTTTTGATTCCCATGCCTTACTTCCGCCCTCCTTCTATCTGGTTATCGAGCACGATTACTAAAGGCTCTGAACTCAACTACTCTCACCAGTCTATAAATGTATGCTCTAATGTAAGCTTTCTGATTTGTGAATTTGTTCTCCAATAAAGAGACCTGCAAAATGGTTTTGTACTATATAAACGCGATTACATAACTCTTGTTTCCTGCTACATTTCAATCCATTTCGGAAGCAGCTGTCTTAAATATGATCAGAGCTATTGCTTTACAAGAATGATTGGTTGTTTATCTTACTAGGAAGTTTTTCTCATTGACATATAGCATTATTGCCCAGGCTGCTTTTGGTAAAAGAAGCAATTGCCAAGAAGAATTCATACCGGTTATAGTGGTTGAAGTACAAATAGGAGCAGGTTTAAATGTAGCAAATTTGAATCCTTCTGCAAATTATGTGAGATGAGTTAATAGACAAAGCATGTTAGAGTACTTTGATGCAGTTCCCTCTGAGTTCCATTAAGAAGTTGATTATGGCATAACTTAAGGAAATATTACATTTGAATAAAGGGTTTTAAGGTAGGAATGTTACAAGACATGCAATTTAATTTATGGTTAGAGCTTACCATGTTATAACTCATGCCTTCCAACTCAAGGTAGGAATCAAACTTGGCTGAAATAAACAAAATTTGAGATGAAATCCTTGCTAAATGCAATGATCGATACTCAAGGTATTAATTATATTTTTGATTAATTAACAGATATTAAAATTGAAGAATCAAAGCTGCAGCAGATAAAAGAATTGGGCATATGCCTTTAGAGCAAGTAGTTGTTTAGGTGATGTAAGCTTTTCCATTTTTTTTTTCCTCTAAATAAATCTATTTAATATTTATTATTGTTTAAGCACTAAATAAACCTTTTGGGTTGAGTATTTGGTTGTTGAAACTTAGTTTCTATTCCATCTTGTACAATTCGATGTTATACCATTAACACATATCTTTTTTATTACACAAAAACACATCTGTTGTTTAGGCTCTGAGTATAACGTCCGCAAATTTGCAATTTCTTCCCTCAGGTTTTGGAAATCTCGTAGTTGTAGCCCTTCACGGATATGAAAGAAAAGAAGGACCCAACCTTGCTCAGTTGCTCTGGCCCTTTAATAGTCTATATGTAGGTTTACTAATTCTGAATTCATAATATGTAGAAAAGCTTTACATACTTTTTTTTTTTTTTTATCCTTCCATCCATCCCCACACCCTTTTTAACCTCAAGTATGAGGTACAATATTTGAATCCTGAACTTAATAGGGAGAAAGACTCTAAAAACCCTATCCTACATACATAATAATGCATTAGATAGATGAATTTAGTCACAGTAATTATAAAAACATAACTATCTTAGAGCCAATATTGTGCAATTATCCTCTTAACACTCTCTAGTCAAATATGCTAAGAATTGTCCGATAAATTAGCCGTCTTGATATGATAGTGAATAAGAATTTCAAACTAAATAGAAAATGGCATATGGGTTATCTAAAACCAGTGTTTGTAAAATCGAATCGAATTGGGCGATTCAACTAGGAACTACCCATTGCTTCAATCCGATTCTATATAAAACTCGAAAATGAATAAAAATTATTTAGCATCGGCCAAAATTGATCCGAGTTTTGGATTTCTCCAAAAGTTCGTCCAAAATTTTGGGCATTTTTGACAATGGGCCACTATCAAATATACCTTAAACACAATCTTTGGGCCTTTTGACTATTGGGTCACTTCCAAACACAACTTAATAAATCAAATATTTCTTTTGGTCCTTTGTTTATTGTGAATCACAATTTATTTCTACTGTTTTAAAACTTAAGAACCTAAACAAACGCAGATTAAGAAACCCGTTCCTTTCTATTTCTACCAGTGCCGCCATGCATCCAAGATAACTTCATCACTCGTTCTAGACTTCAGACTTTCAGTAACATCATCCTTTTTCTTTTTATGTTTTCGAAAGTTTTAGAGTGGGAAAAAAAGAAGAAAGGATAACCATTCCAACTTCTTTATTTTTAATTATATATAAAAAAAAAGCAAATACTTGCATCTTCTTCTTCTTTTTCTTTTTATTATCTACATGGTTTCTTCTTCTTTCTCGTTTGTGTCATTTGAAGAAGGCATTTTATTTCTGACTCTATATTTTAAAAAGCCTTATGCTTTTTTATCCAATTTGATCTATTTCCCCCCTTGTTTTGTTAAATGATATAGCATTTGCTTTGCCTTTTATGATGAAGATGACAATTTCGCTTAGAATTGGAGAAGATGTTGATTTGAAATTATTTGAACTAGAAGTAGAAGAAGATGAAGATAGGTGATTGGCCCTAATAGTGCTCATTTTCTACTGCTTCTCAACTCAAATTTCAAAAATTTATTGGGTTATTGTAATTTAAGGCATGAGATCACATTTTCTTACAAGAATGAATGGCTGTTAAACCATCCTTTTCACCTTGACTATTTTGAACACAACTCATGTCTAACATTATACAAAAAACTAGTGGTTGTCTGATTAACATTTGACTAAAATACTTCCCATTTAGGAGTAGGTGGAGAATTCTTTTGCAAGTTAGTTAATTTTTCTTTCTAAATTTCAAGATAATACTTAATTTATTTAGTGGTTTATATAAGTTGCATGGAAAATTCAAATTTAAAGTAATAATAGTTTGACACTTAAGTAAATAATCTTAATTTTTGTTACAATTTTAAAGATTTTTACATTGTTCGAGAATTTTATAGAGATTAAACTGGAAAATTGATTTTTTAATATATTAATCTATTTATCATGATAAAACAAGTGGTATATATTCATAGATTATGTTTTAAATTTTAATGATGTAGATGTAGGTAATAGACAAATATACTCTTTTTTTTTGGTAGGATAGACAAATACACTAAAAAAAAAAAGCCGAGAAGATATTAATCCAATTCAAATTGTATCACAAACACTCTTATTATGTAAAAATAAAAAACAAATCTTCTGTACAAACAATTCGAATTATAGGACTCCAATGAGTGTAACTCAGATAATAACTCCTTTTTTTTTTTTAATTTTTCTTTGAAATTCTAAGCAGTCAAGTTTGAATCAGACTATTCCTTGAAGCCCGCATAGTCAAATAACAACTAGTAGGTTTACAGCTATCCTCGTTCAATTATCCATATTTCAACAACCTTTACCACAAGCCACTTAACTCCAAAGATCCACGGGATAAGGGTTATTATCACTTTACCCCCTTCATATTTGGTGTTACTATCAATTTTCCCTTTAACGTTATCTTTTAGTCACTTTACCCCCGAGACTAACGGTCAAATTTAACGGAGTTTGTTAATTAAAGTGAAAAGACATGTTTAACCCTTAAAATTATTATCAGTTTACCCCCATAAAATATAGTCTCATTATCAATTTACCCCCTAGAGTTATTTTTTAAACAATTTATCTTACCATTAAACCAACTTAGCAAGTTAAAAAACTTTACAAGAAAATATCCTCCTATTTGCATAATAAAAATAATAAAAAATTTAGAATGACTCTTTTCCTTTTTAGTATCAAAAAAAAAAGTCAAAGTATTAATTTCTTTCTTCTTGGAAATATTATTAATATTGAAAAAAATAGAAAGATGGAAAGGGGGAGGGGGAGAGAGAGGGCTCAATTCTTTTTTTTTTTTAAATTACAAATAAGAAAGAATTAAATACTTTTATTATTTTAAAATTATTTCACTTTTTTGTTTACTACCAAATTCCAATTCTAATTCCGACAATCTTAAAGTAATACGATAATGTTAGACTTTTCTTTATTTTCTTTTTTTTTGTAAAATCTAATTTTTCTTTCTTTCTTTCCTATCTCTTTTTCTTTTCCTAGTATTAATAAGTGTGAAAAAAGCAATTTGAGAAAAATCTTTTATTTTTATGTTTTTCGATCTCTTAAAGTGAAAAAAAGGAAGAATAACCATTCCAACTTTTTTATTTTTAATTATATATAAAAAGGGTAAATATATTTAAAATTTTTTGACCATACTAGTTAGATTAATGATGAGGTAAAATGCCTAAAAAATAATAATATTAGTAACTAAAGTGATTGTATCATTATAATCCAAACGAATAAAGTGATAATAACAATATAATAATGCTATAAAATAAAAGGGTATTTTTGTCCAAAATTTCTTAATAAGTTGAGTTGAATTACTTATGGGGGTAAAATGACTAAAAGATAATATTAAAAGGTAAACTAATAATAGTGATATAGTTTAAGGGGGTAAAGTGATAATAACCCACAGGATAATGACGTGACTTATTGCTATATTTCTAATCAATTTGTCAACAATGTTTGCAAACAATTATTAAGAAAACATCGACTGGTGGAGTGTGTGGATAAAATATCTTCACGGATCAATTATTGATGTTTGTCACAAACTGACAGTAGATTCCACAAGTTGAATCACAGAACCAATTAAAAAAGGGCAGGCGGCCCAAGCCATCGTCTCACCTCGGATTTCATTAAAGAATTATAGTATAAAATTTCATGCGTAAGTGACATATTGAATTTCTAAGTACGTGTGTCTGCAGCTTTCAAAATTAATGTTTATTTCTCGTACCATAGATGTATCCACCTCCTATTTAGTAGGTACCTAAAGGAGGATTATCTAAGTTTCATACTTTAGAAAGTGACATTTTGAATTAATATGGGTGTCTATGAATTCCAACATTAGTGCCACTAATGGTGCTAGAGTTGATCAAGAAAATGAGCTAACAAGCTAGTAGACCAGACATATAACAAGGAGACCTCTCCTTGTTTGGATCGTGATTATTACGTTGTTCGATTACACATGTCTTAATTAACTTTTTACCTCAT